GGGGGGGGGGGGGGGGGGGGTGTCACACCTGTGCCTCACCTTTGGAGAGGTGGGAATGTGGGGGTGCTTCAAGCGGCTCCAAAAAAAAATCGTGATTTGCAAAAGTTTTCCAAAATTCCTGGGTGCTGCTGCCCCAAAATCAGGTGGGGGAGGTTTCAGGTGTGGGGTGCACATCTCTCCCACCTGCACCCCCCTTTTTTGGGGGGGGGGGGAGCAGCCCCAGAAGGGTTCTGGGTGTCCCCAAATGCAGCATTGAAGGGGGGGCCAGGTGGGTCCGGTTTTGGCGTGGGTCCTGGGGGCACAGGTGAGTCTGGGAGTGCTCAGGTAGGGTTTGGGGGTGCCCAGGTGACCCCCCCTTGCCCCGCCCCCCAGGTCCCACGCCATTGCCTGCGTGAACCAGTTCATCATGGACCGGGCACAGGCGCTGATGGAGAACATTGACACCTTCATCGAGGTGAGGACACACCTGGAGGACCCTGGGGGGCATCCCTGCGAGGCTCACCTCTCACCTGTATCCTCCCCATCACCTGGGGGGGGGCGTCCCTGGGGGTCTCACCTGTCCCTGGGGTCTCACCTGTGCCCTTCCCCATCACCTGGGGGGGGTCCCTGGGGGGGTCTCACCTGTCCCTGGGGTCTCACCTGTGCCCCTCCCCAGCACCTGGGGGGGGTCCCTGGGGGGTCTCACCTGTCCCTGGGGTCTCACCTGTGCCCCTCCCCAGCACCTGTTTGCGCTGGCGGTGGACGAGGACCCCGAGGTGAGGAAGAACGTGTGCAGGGCGCTGGTGATGCTGCTGGAGGTGAGGATCGACCGCCTGATCCCCCACATGTACAGCATCATCCAGGTGAGAGGGGGTCACCTGTGCTCCAGGTGAGGGGTTTGGGGGCACGGTTCAGGGCTTACCTGTGCCCAGGTGAGCTCACCTGTCCCCCCGCCCACAGTACATGCTGCAGAGGACACAGGACAGCGATGAGAACGTGGCACTGGAGGCCTGCGAGTTCTGGCTGACGCTGGCGGAGCAGCCCATCTGCAAGGACGTGCTGACGGCTCACCTGGTGCAGTGAGTGACCCAAAAATCCCCAAATTCACCCCAAAATCTACCCCCTAATCCACTGCAGAGCTGACGGCTCACCTGGTGCAGTGAGTGACCC